TAAGTAATATTGTATGTTAACTATAAGATGTAATAAAGCAGTGATATTATTAGAGTGTACATTTTGACTTACTAGTATTTGGGTCGTCAGTGGAATAATAAATCGCTTATTCGATAGTTTAACATACAATACGCGCGGACATTTTGCTCATTGCTCTCAAAATATCCGCGCGTATTATGTGTTAAACCATCGAATAATTATAAGGTGTATATACTCTGTTTATGTAAGAATTCGCCATCAATAAGCGAAGCGAGCGAAGAAAGACACGATAATTCAATGTTTGTTGTTACTGTCCGAAGAGTCAAATTAAAACACTTCTCTAATTTGTAATCAAGCGAAAGACAAAACATAACGAGCGAGCGAAAGACACGAAAAAATAATGTTTGTTTTCGAGCGAAAGACAAACCATAACGAGCGAGCGAAAGACACGATTAAACAATGTTTGTCGTTATTGTCCGAAGAGTCAAATTAAAACACTTTTGTAATCAAGCGAAAGACAAAACATAACGAGCGAGCAAAGACACGATACTGAACAATGTTTGTTTTTACCGAGCGAAAGACAAAACATAACGAGCGAGCGAAGACACGATAAGGTCCAGCCCAGCCGCTTGTCATTCGTGAGCACGCGGCAAATGATAAAACAGTTTACGTGTAAACAGCCTTCATTCCCTTTGTAATTACATGTACTAATTTCCACTTTGATTTTTCGCTTGTTCGAGTTTCAATGGTTCGAAATTTCGCTTGCAACTGCGAAAATCCACGAAATTTCGCTTCCTCGAATTTTCGCTAGTTCGAAAATCCGCGAAATTTCGCAGTCCGCGAATTTTCGCTAGTTCGAAAATTCGCGAAATTTCGCATCTTCGAATTTTCGTGATTACGAAATTTCGTTGTCATCAACGAAATCTCGTCGAAATTTCGTCGAATTTCGTTTTGAAGCGATTCGAAATCGAAATTTCGCTGAAATTTCGCCGAAATTTCGCGAGAACAATTAACGAATGTCGTCGAAATACGTTTGCATTACTTTTGCACAGTACTGTAGATTTAAATTTTCCCTGACCCCCCTAGTAACTCCCACCTATGGTGGTCATTTTCTCAAACCCCCCTTAAATCCTAGATCCGCCCCAGAAGGTGTCAATGAGGAATTGTCTAGTAGCCTAATCACCAAATCATCGGAATTAAAGGGAGTGTTTCACGGTTCGGCGCATGTTCAGGCTTATCAACTTTATCCGTCTAAAAAATCCCACTCACATATACTTCTCGATACTTCAGTGATCACCTGACTATAATTAGTCCAAGGAAAACGACGAATGACCAAAATTCACCAAACATTTCAACGGATTACACCGAGAATATCGACATTGAATACCAGAATAAATTACCAGAATAAAGTGTTGGCCCGAAGGATTTATTCTGGTAATTTATTCTGATATTCAATGTTGACATTCTCGCTGTAATCCATTGAATTTTTTTGTGAATTTTGTTCATTTGTCGTTTTTCTTGGACTAATTATAGTCAGGTGATTACTGAAGTATAGAGAAGTACATGTGAGTGGGGTTTTTTTAGATGGATAAAGTTGATAAGCCTGAACATGCGCCGAACTGTGAAGCACTCCCTTTAATTTAAGTTTACCATTAATAATTTGCCAGGTCAGGTAGCCCAGGGGGCATACTCCAGATTTAAAGTGACAGGGAGGTGGGAAGGATTTTTGGGGGTTTGAAATTCATGTTTTCGGGATGTTTTGGGGTAAGAAAATTTTGGGTAGTTTCATTTTAGTAGGGATACATGAAGCACAAACTTGAACATTCAATTTGTACTATTGTTCCTCATTATTATCATTTAATGCCTTCTAGGTATTTTTAAGGTTCAAAAATTCAGCATGGGATTTTTTTGGGTTTCACTTCAAGCCCTATACTATGGATTATATTTTTAGGTTTTAATAATATTTATGTCCCCATTCGCACCTCCCCGTCACTTTTAATTCGGAGTACCCTCCCTGGTTCTGGTAGCCAACTTTATCGGGATTTTGACCTGATACCCCTCTCTTATCTGAGACTCTTTTTAGACCATGCAGAAGCTGCTTGTATGCATGATGTATGTATTATTATATGCAGCTTCTGATTGGTCAATGACGAGTGCATAAGTAGGTTATAGAGTGCAATACGGAATTGTGATAAACGGTAGAGATGTTTTTTGCCGCTTAATGACATTGAAATAAGCTTTCAAGCTGAGTTCATGCTTAAATATTTTCTGAACTACAGTACTGTGATTCTTTCAAAAATTTCACGCTTGGTTTGCCTGCGCATTCAAATAAAACATGTCAGCACTTTGGAAACCAGTGAAACGTTTTGTGTGCAAAGTAGCGTGATGGCCGCAGCAAAATTTTGTTGAGAATATTATAAACAAAAAATCGTATGAACTGCTCGTGCATTTCGTGATTTATGGTCACTCGTGATGTTTTGAAAGTTCTCAAATAGCACTCGCCTAAAGGCTCGTGCAATTTTGAGAACTTTCAAAACATCACTCGTGCTCATAAATCACGAATTGCACTCGTGTTCATACAATTTCCTATACAAAACAAGTCACTGAAAAAACTTAATATGCTTTTGTTTTTAGGTTCAGTGCTGCACTTCAGAAGGATAAACCTCGGGCATTGAATGATTTGATCAGGAAAACAGCACAACAGGTGTCTTCTCCAAGTTCCCTTGCTCTGGAGCTTTCTACTCCGCACCGTGATTTTGTGACTGAGAAATGGCATGCATACAAAGAAAGAGGGCATTTTGGTTTTCATGAAGATAACGAGCTTGCGAATTCTAAGCCTCTCCCTCCTGCCAAATCTGTGAATATGCCGACAGGAATAACAGCTGAAACATTCGGTGATATAGCCATGATAGCGGACTTTGTTCACAGCTTCCGAGAACTTCTCGTTCCAAGGGAAACTCTGCATATCTCCATTGGTGAGAAATATAACAATCTGCCGATACTACGTACTGAAGTACAACAACTCCAATATCCATTATTCCAATTTATTGTTTGATAGTTGTTGACCAAGCTATGTAATAATGCAAGCTTTTTGCCAGAAGGGTGTCCTGTGGATGCCCAATCCTGGGAGAAAATGATGAAAAATGCACCAAAGTTTTAACACATTTATGGGGGACATATGCCTCCAGGATTTTCAAATTCTATCTAAAAGCCTGCAGACAAGACACTGGCACTGATGGAGATACTCATCATACCTTTTGGGGTTGAAAATTTGGTACTGCTTAGGGTGTTCCCTTAGGGTGTTACTTCATCTACCTGTTAGGTTTATGTTTTCAAAGTTTCTGGTACCTCTTCAGTCTGGGGAACAAGTACTAGTTGATTGTGAAATCTGGCCTCTGAGATGGGACTGAGCCCGCGGTGTTCGTCCCCAAAGTTGCTAAGGAACATGACGTATTTGCTAGCGCGATTGCTTTCAGAGTACTCGTGAGTGCTCATGTGCTTCCACAAAGATTGATCAAAACCACCACTTGTTCCCTTGACTGTCTTAGGGGTTAACACCTGCATGGCAATATGGAGGTTGGGTGCCTGGGGTATTTATCGACCGAGTACTGTTCCAATGACTGGCAACCCAGCCATGAGCCCCCACGGAAGATCAACAGGTACCCGTCACACTGACTTAACAGTGGGAAAAGGGGCAGGGAAGGGGGAACGATGAAGAAACTTGATCAATGCCCCAAATTGGTCCAATTTAAAGCAGCTAAATCTGTATTGCACTTGTAATTAATATGTATTGAATACAAAAATCCATTTTTAACCCAGCCCTCCACCCGGCGAAAGCTTAGGTTTGACTGAAAATGACTCCCGCTATTGCGAACTCTTGCTATTACGGAATCCATTAAACTACGTCCCGACGGTGTCCGCTATAACAAGTACTACGACAACATAGGCAGGGATATTTTATAGATTGCAGGAATTATTAATGCCTTTGTCTACTTCACCAATGTTTTCTATATTATTTTAGAACTTTTCTTTGTATAATAAATCTCATAGCTAAATTGTGTCCCTCTTCATGGCGCATGTCTTTTCCCGCAGATGATTTAACACAGGCCTTGGTTACTAGTAATGAAGGCTTTCCTTTGTTGTCAAGAATCTTGGTCATCTTCCTTCAGATCCTGCTGCAAGATAGTTCAACCAAGGTAAGTTATATGGAGGTCAAGGAATACTTCAACAAAATTGAATGTTAATAAGTAAGGTACAGCCACTCTCGCGCCAAACTGGCCCACACTGCCAAAGCTTATCCCAATTTCCATAGCATCAAGTGTCTACTCCCCCAGGATGGGATGCTAGTCCATCGCAGGTTACCCCCAGCATTTTGTCTCCGGTATCCTGATTTATACTCCTCGGTGGAGAGAGGCACTGTGAGAGTTAAATGTCTTTTCCAACGCGCTAACCATTAGGCCACCGCGTGATAAAAACACTTATTTTGTGAAAAATGCTGAAATTGCAGTCAGGGATAGACATCACAAAATCTAAGCTGTGTCGACAGACAGACAGACAGACAGACAGACAGTTTATTTAAACACGAATTTCTTCAATTACATGAGTGGAATTGGTTTCCAAGAAAGCCATGCCAATAAAAATTACCTAAGACCTAACACTGACTAACGTACTGAACATTATGTACAACATTAATAAAAAAACTCAAATAGTGAACCATTAGGAAAAAAGCCGTTGCAGCTTTGATGACATTTGAAACCGATGAAGGCCGAATATTTTCGGTCAAAACGTCTTGAGTTTTTATGAATGTTGTACATAATGTTCAGTACATTAGTCAGTGTCAGACAGTTACAGTTTACCGGTATACTAGGGCTGGACATCACCTGGCGTCCAGTGAAACAAGTATTATGCAAATGAATTAAACCTAAATAAGAATCCCAACTGGCAGGAGGCTAACCAGTTATCTATTTACAAAGCATGACCGAGTAGTTGGACTCGGGACTACCAAGAACAAATCCAGCTAGTGGCAGGATGGAGGACTTGAACCCAGAAATTCTGGATTTCAAGATCAGCGCCTCAAACCACTCAGCCACATTGCCTCCTTAAATGTTTATTATTTAGGATATTTGCAATCCATTAACTTGTCGAAGAGCAATGCTTAAATGGTGGAGGGTAGGTGCCGATTTTCAGCAAAGTGGGCAAAGGCAAATGAACATGAGCAAAATGCAAATGAGGAGGTAACCATGGCAACCTCACACGGGTCAACCCCCCTGGCACCTGTCACACTGATGTCTCAGTGGAGAATAAAAGGAAAAGTACTTACCTGATCCCAAGATACTAAGGACCAAGAGGTGGGTGGGCGGGGCAAACAGAAGGCAAAATACCAGCCGAGCTAAACCGCACAAGCAAGCTACGATGGCAACTCTTCTTGGAAACAACTCAAACTGCGCATGTGTCAATAGATCACCTGCTGGCCAACAGAAGATCTCCCAGTTAACTATGATTATTGATAATCTCATTTACAATATGGTCTGGTTTTGATCACTTTACCCATCTACAGTTTCCAAGCATTTTGTTTGTGGAAAGAAATCATGGCAACATTGTGTGTGTTCTACTCCTTTATGAATAATATGAAAATAACATTGTCAAATTCTTGCCCCTTAATTAAAGTTGTAATTATTACTTATTAATAAATAATAGTTATTAAATAATATTATGATGTTTATTGTTTTCTAGGGAAAAGAGCTAGGTATGCTGCTATCAGAAATGCCGCTGACACAACAGACAGCATCAGAAGTCTCGCGACTTTATTTGAACTCAAAACTGAAGATGCTAACAGTTTTTGAAGAAGAAAAGCAACTTCAGGGAATACTGAAATCACTGCAGCATGAAGAATTGTACAATCTCTCTCCTGAAGATAAGACAAAGGTATTACGCAAACTCCTCCGATCTCTCCATTGCTTGGTCAACATAGAAATTCTCCTCACTGATCTCATAGATTTCTGAAAGTGGTACTCGCTATCTCGAACTCTCAAGAGAAACGAAAAACAGTTCAAGATAGTGGGGAGTTCGAGATAGCCGATAGCAAACGACTGAAAAACAAGGGCAAGGGGAATGGGTTTGACTTCGAGATAGCAGAGTGTTTGAGATTACCGAGTTTGAGAAAGCGAGGTTCAACTGTAGTTGGCAGAATTTGTTTAAAGAATCTGCAAAGATTTGCTTTGCTTTACGCAAATGGGGGGCTCCGCAGACCACATTGACTCGAGATTTATTAATTTCAATTAATTAATTTTAATTTAAGGTGATTCCTTGGTATTGCATTGCGCATCCTTACTGCGCATGATTTCACACGTAATTAGCGCGCGCACATTAAGAAAATGGCGGCTTTTCCTTTACGGCTAGTCTCGCCAGAGAGATGAATCGTCGTTTTCTCGTAAACGAGTACAGTGACCTATCAATTTTTTCTCTTATTTTGAGTCTAGCAATCACCTTCTTTCTATAAAATAAATATAGACTAATTTCTATTGCAGAAGAATAAATAATCACCGGAAAACGTGAACTTAGCTAATAAAAACGTTTCTGGAAGCTGATATTGTAAGGAATTAAGGGGTATATACAAGGTCCTCCTGTTCCTAAACGAATACCGGGACCCCCCTTTTTTATTTCAAAATTTAAGTTCCCTTAAGATAAACAACCAATAGGCAAAGTTTGAATGAAAATCTATTGTAAGTTCTATTTCGACGGAATGACCTTAAATTTACTTTGCGTAAATTGCATTTAACCACAAGATCATTTCTCTTGTGTGATCATTTCCTTAAATCTTGTGACTTTCAGGGTTTGAATGGGTCCTTGAAATCCTGGAAAGTCCTGGAATTTTGTTCTGGTACTTTCCAGGATAGCTTGCGAGAGCAGCTGGGTGAAACAAGAGCTGAGCCCCCAAACCGGCTGCTTTCTCAGGCTATTTCCAGGACTACAAAGTCCTGAAATAAGAGTGATTTCAATATGCATAATTTTTATGTGCATATGACCAGTTCAAATACTTCATTATTAGATATTATTATTATATTATTATTATTATTATTATTAAATGCATGACTATAAATCCACCATAACCAACATATTTCAATCCTAACCCCATTTTTCATGGTATCCTGTTTTCAATAGATCCTGGTTACCCTGTGTCATGAGGTGTTGTCATCAGATGCCTTTGATGACTATACGGGACGTCAACGCAACCAGGCCACACAGTTAAGGTACCAGACAAGTTTTCTAGCATATTATTCAGTGTCCAGGGCTTGTACGGGTCCTTGAAATCCCGGATAGGACTCAGAAGTCCTTTTTTGGCAGGTCCTGGAAAGTGCTGGGAATCTGTAAATTCCTGGGAAAATTCAGTGACACAAAGAACAAAAAAACAATCAGGTGGAGGAAATTCTTGTAAAATGCGAAAAAGATGTGTTGAAGAACAAATAGCTTACAAGTGCATTTGGAGTCTGGAAAATCTTCCTGGAAAAGTTCTGAAAAACTGTTGCTGAAAAAGAGTACAGACCCAGAGTGTCTCTCTATGGGAGGTGGACATCCCCTTAACCCTTTCACTCCCAAGAGTGCTTAGTTCAAATCTGAGGAAAAAATATTGAATTTCATTTTGAAAAATTATCAAAAACAAACAGCACCACTTGAAAGTACTGCTCAACAGCTTTCATTTGAATGGTCACACACTAGGGTTTCATCCACAGACTCAAAAGTTACAACCACATTTATTGTCTCAATGTTTGACTCAGAGAGTGAAAGGGTTAAATAAATGGAGATTGCAAAACTAACATAATGTTTGCATGGCAGTGACCACAACTCAGTGTCTCCTTTTGAGAGGTGTCGCCTCACTGGAGGTTCCAAAATTAATGTTGTGTTTGTTTGTTAGGAGAGCAGGGATGGTGCAGTGTTGAGAGCCCTTGTAGCCTGGGTTTTGAATCCCAGACTTTGTGTCATAAAAAATTATGTTGGTTGAGTTTGTTGTTGGTTCTCATCCTTGCTCCAAGGGGTTTTTCTCTGGGTACTCTTGTTCATTTCTAAATTTCAATTTGATTTGGAATCCGAGCACACAGGTTTAAGACTGTTATTGTTACCCTCATTAAAGCCTGGTTCACACTTACAACACAAGCATAAGTGCAATTAAGCAGCATATGCAGACGTAGTAACGTGTTGATCATTAGTGCCTTTTGTTAAAGCCTGGTTCACACTTACGACACAAGCATAAGCGCAATTAAGCAACATATGCAGACGCAGTAACGTGTTGATCATTAGAGCCTTTTGTTAGGACAAATGCTGCTAATGATCTGTCTGCATATGTTGCTTGTGCTTATGCTTGCGTCGCAAGTGTGAACCAGGCTTAAAAGAAAGTCAATTTATTTCATAATGTTGGCAGGCTTTATTAACTACTTGAAACCTAAATATACCTCTATATAGACTCTGATTCATATATTAATAATTATGCTGGAATTTCTTTGAAGAAAACAAAAGATTGCCAAGCAGAAAGAAAGGAATGATAAAATAAGAGAAGAAAAGGAGAGACAGAAGAAAGAGAGAGAAGAGATGGAAAAACACAAGCAAGAAGAAGCTAGCAAAAAGGTAAAATACAGTAAATTCCCCAACTACATCAAAAATGCCATCATAGGTTCATAGTGAAAGGTCCCATGGAATTTTAAGAATTTTTTTGGAAGATTTTTTAAGATGTTTGTGAAGAAGGAGAAAGGGATGGGGAATAGTGGATTTTTTATTAATAATTGGGAAAAAATGAAGATTTAATGGAGATTTTAAAATTAGAATTTTTGGTTAATAATTATTGATAGATGGACACCCAAATAGACTGGCCCAATGTGTAAGTGCTCTCATGTTGGGGGCAACTGTCTGTTAGTGTTTTTTTTAAACCAATCTTGTTGTAAATAAATAAAATTTAATCCTTCCTCAACTCTCATCCAATTTTATAAAAATCCACCTATAACTCCCCCTTAAGGAAAGCTGTTGTGGTAGACTACAAGCACTCCCTCTTTCCCAGGGATTTGGTTTCATGAGAGATCTCCCGCATTGTGATGACATGTAGATTGACAGGATGTCAAGAGAAGGAAAATCTGATACCGAAAAATCACTCGACCGTGAAAGGTCAAAACGTCCCGGCTGTGTCCGTAGTCCCTCTTTTCCCACGCGCTTGTCTCGCCCCCAGTTTTTCGCGCTGCCATTTTCCGCTTGCGAATTTTTATCGCTCTCGCTCGACGGACTAAGCTGGGAAAGAGGGACTGCTCGTAGTCTACTGTTGTGGCGCAGCTGTTATATACATTTTGAATTCTTACCAGAACTGCTTGTTTTTATTGTTTCAGCAACTAAAGATGGATGAACTAAACAAGAAAAGGTACACTTGTGAAATGTTATTGATTTGTTTGTATGTTTAAAGTTTATTTCAGTCTTCAATGATTTGCACAAAAGGCAGCTTTAGTACAACAGGACAGAAGGTTCCTTTTGAGATTTGCATTACACTGCATTTCACCTTTATGCAAGATTAAAATAATTTTATTTCACAACAGTAAACTGCAAAATCTCAATTTGTCATACACTGTATCTTAGTCATGCAAATACACAGAAATGCAACAATAAAAGTGTCATGATAATTATGGTCTAGCACAGTGTATGTGCCATTATAAAACAACTTGTTACAGTTCAGGGCCTGGTTGTTCAAACGACGATTAAGCTAATCCAGGATTAGTGTGAATACCGTAAAAGCTCTATTTAGCCCCCCCCCCCCCCACATTAATGGAGAAGGTCACTCCAGAAAGTGCATTTTTTTTCTCACTACCATTAAAAAGTAAATATGAAGATGAATTACTGACCATAGTATGAAGACCTTCCTAACCTTGCGAAGTTAATGCCTTCAAAGTGTCGAAAAATTAAACTTGGCCGCCATTTTGAAGACTACTCAGCAACCTGGCCGTATAATCATGACATCAAATAGTCCAACCTGAATTGGTGGGAAGTGCTGTGTGATTTAAACACAGTTGTTGTTTTTGGTGTGCCTTCGTTCGATGTTTTGAGTCCACAATGCGGCCTCTTGTGC